CTGACGAGACATTGAACCACATCATTCTTGGTAGTTTACTAGATCAGTTGGATCAATTGCCTTCTGAGAAATTGCATTGAGGAATGCACATAGCTTCACGGTGGCTAGGCGTACATTTGGAGGTAGAATTCCTCTTAATGCAAGCTGGAAATAATTGCGTTATGAGAACGTGATGATCATGGGACTTTAAGTTATAGAATTTTTCTTCTACGGCACATTTATAATACCCTTTATATTCGAGGAGAATCCAGATGGTACCTTGATGTTGTTTAAGCATTCAAACATGATTTCCTTCTCTTTGCTTAGAGTGTAGGTGGCGGGGGCGTAAGTAATGGCGTCCATCATCATCTTCTCTACGGATGCAAAGGTTGTCTCTCTCTCAAACAACGTGGAGGTCTGTCGTGCTTCAAATGTGTCCTTAGGCTTTCCATACACACCCATGAAGCCTAGCGAGTTCACACAAAGATTCTTCGTCGGTGCATCACGTCGATCGAGTTGCGGACCTCTAGGACTTGTCAATAGGGTAGGTCCTAAAATATGGACTTCTTCCACATGGGTGCGTGACCGTTAGCGTTGTTGAACAAGTTGGCTTCCATGTCCTTTTCCAAACACGACTTTCACATCATTGACCATATTGAGTACATCCTCACCGGTTCGGTTGCGAGGCTTGGTCGGGGTGGTCCGCCTTCCCTTTAAAATGCTTGCCTTTCTTTCTTTACGGGGTGATTTGCGGGAAGAAATCGACAATGGCCAAGGTACATGACCTTTCGACATTTTTTAAGAATACACCTCTAATATCACCCGAAGCGGTGTGTGCATGCATTATATCCCTTGTTTGATCGTCACGAAAAGATTACTTAGAGCGCAGGCCAATCATTGATTATTACGAACAACAATGCTCGCGGATCAAAGTGTTCTGTTTGTACTCATCCCACACACGTACACCTTCTTTATTCCACAAAATGAGAAGTTCGTCAATAAGTGGTCTCGGTACACATCGATGTCATTGCACGGTTGCTCGGGCCTTGGATGAGCACAGGCATCATAATGAACTTCCGCTTCATGCATAACCAAGGAGGAATGTTGTAGATACTTAGAGTAACAGGCCAAGTGCTATGACTCTTATTCGCTCTCCAAAAGGATTGATACCATCCGTACTTAAAGCAAACCTTAAGTTTCTTGCGTCATTTGCAAACTCCGGAAATTCTCGTCGATTGCTTTCACTTTGGAACCCATCGTGAGGTGTCTCAACATATTGTCTACCTTACGGTCTTCTTTGTGCCATCGCAACAATTTTGCATGTTCTTTGTTTACGAACAAGCGTTTCAAGCGTGGTATTATAGGAGCATACCACATAACCTTGGCAGGGATTTTCTTCCGTGGACGTTCGCCCTCAACATCACCAGGGTCATCTCACCTGATCTTATACCACGATGCATGGCATACCGGGCATGCATCCAATTTCTCATACTCTTTGCCATGGTACAGGATGCAGTCATTAGGACATGCATGTATCTTCTCGATTTCTAGCTCCATAGGACAGACAACTTGTTTTGCTTCGTAGGTAGTGGCGGGCAATTCATTGTCCTTTGGAAGCATCTTCTTTTGAATTTTTAGTAACTCTCCAAATCCCTTGTCAGATACACCATTCTTTGCCTTCCATTGCAGCAATTCTAGTGTCGTTCCCAACTTTTTCTGCCCTGCATCACAAGTTGGGTACAACAATTTGTTGTGATCTTCTAGCATCCGCTCGAACTTGATCTTCTCCTTTTCACTTTCACATTCTCTTTGTGCGTCACGAATGACCTGACAAAGATCATCAGCAGGCTCATCTTCTGTGGCTACCTCTTCTTCAGCTTCTCCCATTGTAGTATCATTGAAGCACGCACCATTGGGAATAATATCATTGTCGTCCTATTGTTCTTCTTCACCTTCTTCCATTACAATGCCGGTTTCTCCGTGCTTCGTTCAACAAATATAGTTTGGCATGAAATCCGACTTGAACAAGTGTGAATGAAGAGTCCTTGAGCAAGGATATTCCACCGTATTCTTACATATGGCACATGGGCAGCATATGAAACCATCGCGTTTGTTTGCCTCGGCCGCACGTAACAAAGAATGCACGCCGTCAATGAACTCTTGGGAGCGGCGATCAGCATTGTACATCCAATGCCGGCTCATCTGCATTACATGACATAAATACCATATTAAAACCTAGATCATAATTAATTATTTATACAAAAGGTACAAATTTATGAAAGCATCGCTACAATGTAGACAATCCCAACTACCACTAAAAGAACTAAAGCTAAAATACATTTCAGGAGCACAAGGATTTCGGACCAATCTCAACTAAAACAGATAGATCCTCCGATTGTGCAACATCTTTGGGCTTCTTATGCTGGATCACTGCCTCATTAGCCGCCGTATCTGCCTGTTGTGCAAGATATTTTTGCACGAGTTCAACATACTCTTTCTCCCAGTAGAAACCTGAACATCGTCCACTGCCATCCCACTGAAATTAAAACAAAAAAATAGAACTTTAATCACAACCATCATGAAAATAGGTATAAACTAACCATAATCATTAAATACGATAAAATAACTCACATTGCGATCCGGACACTTGTAGAAGATACGATCCTTGTTGAGACCCTCCTTCTTCACTCGGTACTCCATCACAATCTTCGTCTCATCACGACACTTGCCGCATGGAATGAGAGGGAGGCTCGGCCTAAGTCGCTTTGGAAACCCATGAGAGGCCGAAGACCTGTAAGTAGTTGCCATCTACTCTCTATACTTATTTTTTAATACACTATAAATTTCTCATTTTATAAACAAATAAAATTAAGAAACTATAAAATTATCTATATCTCAAAAACATGTTTTAATAAATAACCATCCGTACTAGTTGACCTTGCTTACGTGATCATCTCGGCGAGTATTTCTCCACCGGACGGCACCGTACTTGGTCAAGGAAAAGCTCCGATTCTACGAGGAAGGGAACATGCTCGCCGAGATGAACACGGTCCGTAAGTTCAACTAGCTACTTTAACCTTCTTTCATGTAAATATGCAAGCTTGAAGTGATTTTGAGCTCAAATTGCTTACAAATGAAAAAAAACCACAATAAAGAACCATATATATATATATAGAACAAAATGAGATAAGACAATGGTGAAAAATGAGAGTATGAGATTGGTAACCTTTACAACTGAAGAATCGACGGAGGAATCGAAGAATGGATGGAGGAACAATGGAGGGAGGGAGGAAGCAAGAACACTAGTGCAGTGAGCTTCAAAATGTGCTGAGCTCGGGCTCGGAGAGGAAGAAGGAGACGGACGGGATATAAAGGGGGACCTTTAGTCCCGGTTGGTGGATCCAACCGGGACTAAAGGTAACTTTCCAACCCCGGGCGCAGCCACGACCCAGAAGTAGATCTTTACTCCCGGTTGGAGCCACCAACCGGGAGTAAAAGTATACCTTTAGTCCCGGTTGGTGGCTCCAATAAGGACTAAAGGTCCCTGCCACCTCTGCCTGGCGCAGTAGCCATTGGGCAGGGACCTTTAGTCCCGGTTGGAGCCACCAACCGAGACTAAAGGTATCTCTAGTCCCGGGCGTAAAAAATGCCGGAACTAGAGCCCATTTTAGTCGAGGATCAAAGGTCTGTTCTCTACTAGTGTTCAAGTCCTACTGAGTTTGGGTGTCTATTTCTCTTCTTAATGATTAATGAAAAAACAACCACCTAGTTCTTCCTAGGTTGGATCCCCCCTTTCTTTACCGAATATAAAAAAAACAATATATGCACTTGTACAGCGGACAAGTTTCCAGAACAGACAACGAAATGCACCGAAATAAGAAAGCAATTGGTTGCCATGCATCCTCAGAATTATCACACGTACTCCCTCTATCGTGAAATATAAGGATCTAATTAATTTGTCTTAAGTTAAACTGTAGTAACTTAGATCAAGTTTATATAAAAAAAATAAAAATACATAGAGCTTCAAATTAGCTTAGTTGGATACATTATGAAATGTATGTTTCTAATATACCTCTTTGATGCAATAGATGTTAATATTTTTTTCTTTAAATTTGGTTAAACTTAATATAGTTTGACTTAGAACATATTTGGATCACTTATATTTTAGTTCGGAGGGAGTAACGATAGAACGATCGGCTAGCACTGACATGAAAACAGCATAGGGGGGATCAAGTTTCTGGGACATTATCGTTACTGCAACTAGATCAGATCTACCATCTTTATCTTTGTGCTGCCGATATATTGCTTTACCTGTTAACACGCAAAGGCACCTGGACGACGTACATCTGAAAGGAAAAAAAAAAAAAATGTTTCTAGGCCGGCGAAACCAGATCGATCGAATTCCTAGTCCCGTGTCTCACTGCAAATTGCATCCAGAACCTAGCTTTAGTTTTGATGAAATAAAGCCCAACATTACATGGCGAGTTATATTCTTGTACCCCGACATAAGCCACCTGCTCCATCTTTGGCGCCAATTCCGCCGTACGAAATCCAACGTAGGCGATCCCTTCTTTGCAGTATTCAATTCCTCCGACACCTCCATAGATGGATCTTTCGTGTTGCTCACCCCGTTGCTAAAGGATCGCATATATGCATCATGAACGCATGGGCGAGCTTGTGTGATCTATCATTTCTGCGCAATCTTTTAAATTTAATTTGCTTCCTGGAGACGGAGACAGCGTGCGTGCGTGCATGCATGCATGGTTGCTCGATCCAAGCAAGAATCCTGACGCTCTTTACCTTTGTGGCGGATCGAGGAGCTTTCTCTTTTCGCTGCCGTGCTGTAATCCTCGGCGGCAAGGCAAGCATATTATCCACCTGCATAAATAGTCGGCGTCATCTTCATCCAGGCATCTCATCAGTGTCTGACTCTGCAGCAGGGGTCGGTCATCCAGCACATTGCTCTCGATCGCTAGCTGCAGAGCAGGTTGTCATCCAATCCAACACATCGATCAGAAGCAATGGCGGCAGGGCTGCAGGTGTTCGGACAGCCGGCGTCCACCGACGTCGCGAGGGTCCTGACCTGCCTCTTCGAGAAGAACCTCGAGTTCGAGCTCGTCCGCACCGACACCTTCAAGAAGTCGCACAAGCTCCCCGAGTTCATCAAGCTCAGGGTATGTATCTCATTGTCATCATCACCCAACTTTGTCTTGGCCTGTCGAATTCTCTCTCTCTCTCTCTCTCTCTCTCTCTCTCTCTCTCTCAGTTCTTGGAGTTGCAGATCGATCACTAGATGCTAGAAAAACCTAATAAGCTGCTGCTGTGGGTGTGGCTCTGCAGGATCCTACTGGACAGGCGACTTTCAAGCACGGTGACAAAACAATCGTTGGTAAGAACTCGGAACAACTAAGAAATGAAATGCATGGCATTCAGATCCTGACACGTACACATATATGCATGGCAGATTCCAGGGCGATTTGCCGGTACCTGTGCACGCAGTTCCCGGACGACGGGTACAAGAAGCTGTACGGGACGGGGTCGTTGGAGCGGGCGTCCATCGAGCAGTGGCTGCAGGCGGAGGCGCAGAGCTTCGACGCGCCGAGCTCGGAGCTGGTGTTCCATCTGGCGTTCGCGCCGCACCTCAAGGACGTGCGCCCCGACGAGGCCCGCGTCGCTGAGAACGAGAAGAAGCTGCACAACATGCTGGCCGTCTACGACGACATCCTCTCCAAGAACGAGTACCTCGCCGGCGACGACTTCACCCTCGCCGACCTCTCCCACCTCCCCAACTCCCACTACATCGTCAACTCCTCCGACAGGGGCAGGAAGCTCTTCACCGCCAGGAAGCACGTCGCCAGGTGGTACGACAAGATCTCCACCCGCGAGTCGTGGAGGCAGGTCATCAAGATGCAGAGGGAGCACCCCGGCACCTTCGAGTGATCGGCCGGTCGGCGGGCGCCGTCGTGGTTCATTCTCTCTGCATGCATGCGCCGCGCGGCGTGTTCCTCGCGCCGCCGGCAGCCGGCTTCGTCGTCAGGCTTCATACCGTGATGTGGTTGTCGAGTTCGTCGTATCGTGTACGTCCTGTGGGCTAAAATAACGTGAAGCCTGCCTGCCTGCCTGCCTGCCTGCCTATACGGTGTCTCGTGCCTTCCTTTCGCTGCATATATAAGCAGTATATCTTTTTTCCGGGTATTGTATTGTGATGTATTCATCAACTCCTTTTGCAATATTGGTCAATTCAATAAAAATGTGTCCGGGCATTTTTCGCTCGTTCGCACTATATTTGGCTTCTCAAGATCACACTGGAAATACCACAAGGACCACTTATTTTACACCCTCTCTACTTGTAAGATATTGGATTGTGACCAATGCCGAAAAGAAAATTTCGGTACAGTGACAATGGTGGAAATATTGGAGACAACATGAACTGAAACGGCCTGCTTTTGTGTAAACAACCACTCTTTCGAGTTTTGCACTTGTTTCGGTATGACATGTACGTTGTGTAACAACCTGTTCATACTTCAATAAGTATGATATGTATACAGCTCTCTTCCTTGCATATTAAAAAAAGATTGATGTGTCTATTCCTAATCCATGGACATTAGAAATTTTGAATCATAGTGAGCTCAATTGGTTAGGTTCCTTGTGGTGGAACCTGCCCACCCGTGTTTAAATTCTCGACTTGATACGAGTGCTCGTATTTTTTTGGATTTATTCTATAATTTAACGGCGCTGTACTTGATCAGTGGTAGGCGACGTTCCCGTCGACAGCGATGCGCTTATGGTAACTTCGTCAATCTCGAGATGTGCCGGCACAATCTTTCGGAGGTGCTCATGGGAGTAAGGTTTGCGCAACCCGTCTAGTGTGTTGGGCAATCCTTAGTCCACGTTGGAGCTCCACAAATGATATGTTCCAGGTCACCAAGCCTTACCTGGTCACGGTGTTGGGCAAGCCAAAAACCCATCGCCAATCAGAACAAGTTCCGTAAGCCAGTAAGACTCACCACTTGCACATGACTCTCCTGGTCACTAAGTTGTTGTCCATGTCAAATATTTTCGATCAAGGAAGAGGTCTCATCATCCCACATACCAAGTTGTCGCGCCGCTCATCCACACCACGCCCAAAGGGTTGAGATCCGTATAAAGGTCACAAATAACTCAAGTGCTTTAGCTCACCAAGGTTACAAGGGCGCAATAACCCAATCACTCAAACTCTAAGGGCTAACCCTAAAAAATAAACAATAAGGTCTGTCATATCCTTTGATGTGATATTTATGCACTTGAAAGGGTGAATCTAGTGTAGACTGGCCTGTTTGGTAGAGCTCTATCATATTCTGATTTTCTACGGAAACTGATTCTCTGAAAAAGTTCGGCGGACTTAAGCGCCACTGCTCTAATTTTTTTTGCCCTTCATGCCACTGCCGTCAAATTGGGCTCTAACGATGTCAAATTGTAGGTGTGAAAAGTCGAAAATACCCTTAGGTCTAAATATGTCATTAATTTTTTAAGCATCTTAGCGACTTCAAATGAAAAAACTCAAAACTAGAAAGTTATAGATCTTGTTGAGATATATAATTTTTATATAAAAATTATCTTCATTTAATTCCGTAAAAAAGATATGATTCGATATGATTAATCTATCTTAGAAAAATTATATCTTTTTGCTTTGATTTTACCTTACTGAGATCTGTATGCAGTTATGCACTATGCAGCTCATGTCATGATTTTTGTTCCGATGCGACCTGAACTCATTTTCATGCATGTGCTCTAGCACTTGGCATATTTGAGCATGTTATAAAACTAGCCCCATATGGTAGCATTACTGAAAGTGAAGCTTTTGCCGTTTAATTTGTGCTTGATGCGTAGAACAGAAATAACAATCCTGCTTTGCCCTAGCATATAACAACTTATGATTTATGAACAAATCAAACACCCGAACCAGCTACAAGCCTAGTACTTATTTTCTGCACTCTTCTTTTTCCTCCCTTTTACTGATATATACATAGTTAAATCTTCAGATCTTGATCATTTCTCGCTCTTTTTAAAGCATCCATTTGTACTGTTCTTTGATGAACACCCTACCCTGGTATCCAGTGGTCGCCATAATGGCTTCATGTTTATGCCACACAAGACAATCTTCCAGCAGAGATGAGCCTTGTCTTTCTCTTTAACTGGCATCAAACGCTTTGCTCTTTATCTCCTTTGTCTTTCCCTTTGATTCGTCTTCTATCTTTAGATTTACCTCCGGCCAAGCAAGGCATTTTGTGCTACTCGCTTTGGCGACTATATAAGCACGCCCAAGCAATCCAATGGCAGCACACAGCCACACTTGCATTGCATTTCACCCTTCAGTTCAGCTGTGTGCTCTGAGTGACTGAAGTGTTCTAGTCCCAGTGAGTGAGTGAGTGAGTGAGTGAGATGGCGAGCGTGAAGGTTTTCGGGTCACCCACCTCGGCGGAGGTCGCCCGCGTGCTCATGTGCCTCTTCGAGAAGGAGGTGGAGTTCCAGCTGATCCGCGTCGACGCCTACCGCGGCACCAAGCGCATGCCCCAGTACCTCAAGCTGCAGCCGCACGGCGAGGCGCTCACCTTCGAGGACGAGAGCCTCACCCTCTCCGGTAAGCGCATTGCTGCTTGGTGGATGCGTGGTGTAGACGTGTAGTGCAGCAATGGTGCTGACATGCACCGGCCGGTGAACCTTGCCTTGCTGCAGATTCGAGGGGGATCCTGCGCCACATCTCCCACAAGTACGCGAAGCAGGGCAACCCGGACCTGATCGGCACGGGCGCTCTGGAGCGCGCGTCCATCGAGCAGTGGCTGCAGACGGAGGCGCAGAGCTTCGACTCGCCCAGCGCCGAGATGGTCTACAGCCTCGCCATCCTGCCGCCCACCCTGCCCAGGCAGCAGAACGATAACAACAACGGCAACGGCAACGGCAACGGCAGCGGGTTCAACGCCAGGGACGTCGCCGTGGGCAGCAACGCCGACGCGTCCAGCGGCAAGCGCGGTGTGGCCGGGTCGCAGCAGCCGGCGGCGAAACAGAGCCAGGTGAGCCCGCAGAAGGAGGAGGAGATGCTGAAGCTGTTCGAACAGAGGAAGAAGGACCTGGAGAAGCTGCTGAACATCTACGAGCAGCGGCTGGAGGAGGCCAAGTACCTGGCCGGCGACAACTTCACCATCGCCGACCTGTCGCACCTGCCCAACGCCGACCGCCTCGTCTCCGACCCGCGCTCCCGCCGCATGTTCGAGTCCCGCAAGAACGTCAGCAGGTGGTGGCACGACGTCTCCAGCCGCGACACCTGGCAGTACGTCAAGAGCCTGCAGCGCCCGCCGTCCACGTCTACCGACGCCAGCGCCAAGAACGGCCAGCAGCAGCAGCACCTGCCGGGATCCACCGACGGCCACGGCGTGAAGAGTCACTTCTAGCCGTCGCCGTCCCTTCCCGGCGATGAATGAACTACCTGCGCCGCCGCCGGCCGCCGCCGTCTTCCTTGAGCTGTTCGTGTCGCTTTCATACGTCGTACGTGTCTGCTGCTTTTCAAGTTCCGTTCCATTCCCGGGTGCAGGGGCCTACGAGTCCAATTCCGCCTTTTTGCTGATTCACCACAGCATGTGTTTTTTGTTCGTCGTGTAATAAATTGTAGGCCCCACCCCCCTTTTGAATGAAATTCAACTTTCAGTGTCGTGTGAAATGTACTCATGTGTATGAATTTTGATCTTGCTGTTTTCCATGATCAAAAGTCTCAAACCAACGTTACAAAATGCAGCAGTTACACATTTGCACGGTCAAAGTCTCAAAGACATATTGCTACAGCCAAAAAAGAAAAGAAAATGAAGGCCAATTACAGGGACACTACAGACTTGAGACCCAGGCAAAGTTCATCAATCGAAAGAGCAAATGTCTCACGCAAACAGCACACTCCAAACAGCCTGTACCTTATTCGTGCAATGGATCATCTCGGACTCTTGTTGCCGACCGAGCATGCAGCCTCCGGTCAGCTCTGCAAGAGCTGCTCCTCCTGGAGTTCGGGTTTGGCCACGGACAGCATCCGCCGGGCGCGCACGCGCGCCTGCAGCCGCGCCATCGCCTGCATGCAGTGGATGGCCACCTCCGCCTGCCGCCGCACGAACGCGCCCCGCGCCACCGCCTGAATCCTCACCAGGCTCTTGAGCGCCCTGAACGCCCGCCGCGCCTGCATGCAAACACGAGCCGCTCTTAGTACAGTACACGCCGTCGCCGGAGCAAAGCGAGGGCCCGGCCGTGATGTAACAGTAACTAGGCGCGATGCGCACCAGGTGGCCGCGGAAGTAGGCCTGGATGGTGACCGCGGCCACGTCCTCCCGGGAGAATCCCTCTCTGCAGAGGAGCGCGTACTCGTCGTTGGAGCACGTCTCCTCCTCGGCAGCCGCCGCTGCCATCTCCGCCTCCGTGAGGCTTTTGTTGTTGCTGTTGCCAGCGTGGGCGGTGTCGCGGCCGGCGCCCCGAAAGTGCAGCGTCGTCTGCGCACCCGCCTGGCGAGCGGAGCGGAACCAGCGGCGCCGCCTGCCCAGCTTGGCGCTGCCCGGGCCCTGCTGCGCGGGGACGCGGACGCAGCACGCGCGCTGCTGCGTGGCAGGGGTTCGCGGCGTCCTCGCGACGCCGGCGGGCCCCGGCCCTGCCGACGCGACGGGGAAGCAGCAGACCTGCCCGCGGCGCGGCGTGCGTGAGCGCACGCCGCAGAGGCGCCTGGCGGTGGGCGTGCACGGCGTCCTCGGGGTGCGCGGCGTGCGCGCGGCGCCGCTGCTGCGGCCGCGGACGTCCCCGCCGCTGCAGCAGCTGATGAGCGGCAGCCTCACTCTCAGGTCGGCGTCGGGAGCGCCGGACGACGGTTTGTGGTGAGGGCCAACGCAGCATATGCACGCGGCGCTGCTGCGCCGGCGGCTGCGGCGGTCGGAGGGCTCGCCGCGGACCGGCGACACGAGGCAGAACAAACCCCCTGCTCTCGCCATGGCAGGTTGCGGTGCAGCTGTGCGCGCGTCGACGGCTACGGCTTGTGGCGATGGCCGGCTGGTCGGCGAGCGAGGTGGTGTGCCATAAATGGGAGTGGAAACGAGCGATGTGCGCGCCTGTAAGTTTGCGATTGTGATGTCGGTAGGCTGATTTGTCACGAGTTTGCGCGTGTGATTGGATGACAACTTTGAAATTGAGTATAGTTTATGTGTGTTCTGCTGAAACAACGATGAGAACGTGGCCGGATGGAACTTGGAAGCGACATGTAGGTGGCCTGAAGAATAGGCGCGCGGCGGCGCGGCCTCACCGAAAAATCGGCCTGGTTTGCTCCGCATACGCCATCATGGTGTTCGTGGGCTTTGATGGGAGGCTCCGATTGGGCCTAGCATTTGGGTTTTGGCATTCTAGCCGCATCATCAAAAGAAAACGCTTTCTTCTCAAAAAAAAAAAAAATCAAAAGAAAACGCTTCGGCGTCGTTTGAATTTTCTAAAAAAAAACAACAATCTTAACGTTATTTCGCGTGTTAAGGCGTACTCCCTCCTAGAATTCAAAATTGTCGCGCAAAAATTGCCTACCTAGAATTCAACTTCTAAAATGCGATTATTACATTCTTTAAGACACCTTTTGTAGGGGTACGTGTTACCTTCTTATAAGAGCAGCTCCAATAGACATTATAAATTCCACACTCTATATCTATATTTGGCTACCCACTCTATAAAATTTCTCTCTATATAATTCAGCATACTCCAACAGACTAGACATATCTCACACTCCATATTCTATAAAAGGAGGAGAAAAGAATAGAATTTTAGAGCAACACAAACATGATACTAGCTGTCAGTGTCATATTCGCTAATATAGCAAGGCATAGCAGCTAGCTAAATTTGGCTTCTGACTGGAATAGCAATGGCATTAGCTAGTCGGTTGAAGGCCATATTTCTTACTTACATGTTAGCTAAAAATAGAAATAGCAAGTTATCCCCAAATCTCTTGGAGATGCTCTAACACTACTACCTTGGTTATTGAATAAATTATTTTTTAGAATTGTCTTAAATAATTTTTAATAAACTTATTTAGTTTCATAAATATATATATAAATTCATTTAAACATAAAAAAGTTTACCTTAACTACTCTAAAAATTGATTAATTTAATGATGAAGGGTGTAATTTCTCGAGAGAATGATAGAATGTGACGGAGGCAATATATCATCCCACGTGGAGCAACAAGGGACAGAGCTTCGGCCCGGGCTGGGGGATGCAGCCCAGGGGTCCAGGCCATGTAACCGTCGGACAAACGCTAGCCTAATTCACAAGAGGTCCATCCACTTCGTTTCGTCAAATTCTTTTGCGTATAGAACGGCAAGGTACGTTGTTTCGGTCGAAGTTTCTACTTTTTCTTTTGGCTGGAAAAGCTGCTTTTTTTGTTTTTTAGTTGTTAGATTTTGGACAACGTATCAGGTACAAACCAATTAAATGTAAACTTAGAAACTACCAATCAGGACCACTATATAGGTCCTTATTGTTAGTTTTCAAGTTTACACATGTTGGTTGATTCGCAGATTCGTTGCCTAGATTTTGTTATTCAGTTTTGCAGCAAATCTTTATTTCTCAGGACATCAGAAAGATAGAGAACCAATAATTAATAATGAATAGTAAACTTGAAAATAATAATAAAATAATTTAATTTTCATATGAGTCCGGAAAAAATACTAATACTAAATAGAGTCCACGTAACACAATTCCCGAAGACAAAATTGAATAAATGCTATTGAAACTTAATATGGTTCGATCTCCAAATGAATTGAGAAGAAATAATGCCTAAATAAATAGTCCATATAAGTTATCTATATTTATATCTAATAATAAAGAGGTAAAATTTCTGGTACTTTTTTAATTTGTCCAGCCTATCCGTGTCCGATATGTTCACGGCCGGCACTAGTCGGCCTGAGATCGAGCGGTTCTGTGGTTTGGGGAAGAGGATCAGAAAAAGAAACAGCAGAGAAGGAAGGGTACCAGGTGCAAAAGTGCAAGAGGGAAAGAAAAGGTGAAAGGATCTAAATTGAATTCGAGAAACTCAGGGATTCCTGATGTAAAAGTTCAGTCCACGTTGGGTCTCTTGCTCGTGGGCTGGAATCCGTCTCGTGGGCCTTTTGCACTAGTGGACTGGGCCGAGCCGTGGCCTTGCTCCTTTTCTTTTTTCTGTTTTTCTTTTTTCCGGTAAAACAACAAACTTGTAAATTATGTGGATCTTATAGAAATAGAAAAATAAAAACTATTTTTTAACTCCTTTTGACTAGGTTTACACTCTATAATAAAAATATTTGATGTAGTTATTGATCTATGTTTTCTTTCATAAGCTGATATAGGATGTTTCCTTAGTCCTTTTGCAGTGAAATTTTCATAGCAAAATCTTCTATTGATGTGTAATCTATGGTAAAATTTTCATATACAATGGACGCATATTGACTGAGTTAAAGTTTAAATGAAAAAACGATCCAAATGAAATACAACGTAGGAGCACAAAGCACTCGAGCCCACACCACCACAAGTGATAAGTCTATCTCCCTGCAAATAGTGATGCAAGCGGGCTTAATATTCCTACAGGTGGCCCGCATGATGCCACATCAGCCGCTTACAAAACTTGGGCATATGCATGGCTCAGCCCTATGGTCTTGCCGCCACCTCGCAGAAGTGTCTCATTGCATCTGCATCAGAAACAAGAATTGATAGGAAGATCAGGATTCCATGGCTCGAAGGCCACGGCAGCGAGGCGACCGTGTGGTGTTCAAGGAGTGCGATGCCATGGAGCGACGGTGCAGAGCCAAGCTCTGCAACTGGGGCTCCAATCTCTACAAGCTCAGTGGTCCTAATATATGTGAAGCATCCCATTGGGGCCAACGCCCACGATGAGGCTCTATCTGGGACACTGCTCGTTAGCGGTGGATTAGTTGTGGTGCTGGCGTTCCGACCACGCCTCACCCTATCCTGCATCACGCATTACGCTGAAAACAATAACGTAATGACGCGGTGTGAGTGCACACTTCAGAAGGTACGGAGGAAGGACGACGTGCCCTGCATGGGCGAGCTAGAGGTGATAGTAGCGGTGCTTGAGGAGAGGTCGACGAGGTGGAGGAGACGAACCACAACTGCTATGGGTGTTCACACGCTAAACAAAATTCGATCTTTGACATAAACAAATATTTCTTTTACACATAAATCTTTTGTTCAATAAAAATTAGTATATGTTATTTATTAACCCGTTGCAACGCACGGGTAATTTTTCTAGTAATTAGTAAATAGCTAAATTCCAAATAAAAAGTTATAAACATAAATAGTAGCTTGATTTTCATATGTCGACAAAAACACACAAATCTGTAAGTAAAGTTAAAGAAAAAGGCCATCTCCTTCAAAGGCTAAAAATTTAGCACACTAACCTTGTAGATTGGTTTTCATATCATAATGGTGCACCTAGATAATTTGTGAGAAATTTGGAATCGTTTTGTTGAGGAATGGAGCGTACGAAGAGGAACCTAAAGGGCACCTTGATGCGGCCTCGACATAGAAGTTACGAACCCACGGAAAATAAGTAAGTACTCCCTCCGTCCAGAAAATGATGCAATTACGTGTTGCGTGCCAACAAAAGCAGTTCACGTTTGACCAAATTTCTAGCAAATATTATTCACATTTACGGCTCCAAAATAATTTATTATAAAAATACATTTCATAATTATCTAATGATATTTATTTAATATCATAAATATTGATATTTTTTAACTATAATTGATTGAACTTAAGATACAAAACCATGACACTGTGCGAGAATTGCATTCTTTTCTGGATGGAGGGAGTAGAAAATAAAGATAAGAGGAAGATGACAACAGGTTGAAGCCAAGAAATTGATTGATTGTAGTAGTTATATAAAGTTCGTGTAGATGGATGTAGTAGGGGGTGTAAGGATAGAGGACAACGAACGAACAAAAAATTCAAATTTTACTAGAAAAAAAAACTAGCTACTCGCATTTTTTAGCTGGCCTTAGTACATGTATTTTAGTTGCTCAATTACGAGGGAAAAACGATCATTTGGTCCAAGCGTTGGTTCTCCTTGTACAAGGAAATCGAAGCAAGTTATGCCATACATCTTCGCTACCCCGTCCCCTCTCTCCCGGTTTCCCGACAATGCAAGTGTAGTGGTGATGCCATGCATGATGCATGCATATGTGACACGTAAGTGAACTCGATCCTCTGTTTTTTTCTGCGAAAAATAAGTGAAGTTGATCCTCGGATCAGCAAGCTAGAGAAAGCAACAGGTGAAGTCAGTCAGAGAGGATGAGAAGAGACGAAAACAAGAGTTGGGCTGGACCGCACGAACACCAGAATAGTTGAATTCGTTTGTGTGTGTTGTGTGTGTGTGAGGTGCGTCCGTCGCTAGCGAAGCTCGTGTCGTCGTGAATGTCTTATAGACGTGTGTTGTGGGTATTATAGATTCTAAATCTAGCAGATACTATAACTTATACTACCAGAACTGAGTAATCAAAAAAAATATCAGTCGTGCCTGTGCTTGTGCGCACCCTGGACCGAAGCTGCTCGTTGCACGCACGAGTCCACCACCGGGATATGCGCGGCTGTGACCGTGCGTGCAGTGCCCCTTCGGCGCAATTTCTGAATCGAATCAGCATTTTCTCCGGAGATGCTAGCTGCTTGCGCTAAAGGACTGTACTCGGACCGGGACCCAACGGTTTTGACTGAGTGTAGCCGCCTAGCCGGTGTTTAGCTAGAAAGTAAACTTTATGTAATGTTGCCTAGTGGTGATTTGTGAATTTCAGCAATGAGGTACGTAGGAGGTGTTTGGTTGCATGTCTCATTTTACCGCGACATGTATGCTGGTGCCACAAATGTTAGACGGTCGCTTACTTTGAGAGTAAGCTGTGGCATTCCACAAAATTTCAATCTCTATGCACTCAATAACTCTCGACACGACTATGGCGGCTATTTTGTGG